CCAAGACAAATCTGTCTTCTAACTTCCTTTTCCCTTTTCAAACATTTGGCCTAATGAAATCAACTCAAATCTGGTTCATTTGTGAAACAAAGGTCTAAAAAACAATTAATATACATTTGGTAGGTGGTTGACATCAGAATTTTCAAAACAACAAGTCCCAAGTCAAGCTAGGCCATTCGGCTAGCAAAAATTAGAGTTTTCCAGATTTGGTACAGTTCGATATTTAGACCACATCTCACTCAATTCAACTTGAAATTGAGCATGGTTGCTGGTGTTGGAAACTAAATTCAAAAGGGTACATTTCATCAGAAGAAGTCATTATGAAATTCAGTTTTCAAGTAAGAGAAAATGGAGCCACAAGTTGCAGCTTCTAACTTCCTCTCGGTTGGACTGACAGAACAGGGCAGCCGACTTTGATCAGTCACTACAGATGAATCACTTCGAATTAGAAAGTGCATGATACACCGTTAGAAAAATATGGATGTCTAGTTTCAAATTCCACAAACGGCACTTGATTTTGACATCTGAGAAGAGAGTTATGGTCGTTCAAAGATGCCCTGTCCAGAACACCTGGACACCGTTTTCCAGATTTGAAAATTTTCAAAATTTCAACTTTTACCCAACCAAATCAAATGATTTTTGGTGGAAACTTTCCACACATCCTACACAATATATCTACATCAGATTCAAGGTCATTTGAGCATCAAAAATTTGAATCAAAGTTTCAAGAAAAATAGGGCAGATTTTCGGCCTCTTCCTATACAATTTTCCTTTGGTTTTCCTTTCACTTTTCCAACAAATCTCATCTTGTTTATTACATAACTAACACAAACAACACTTATCATCATCATATCAGTCCTATATCATCAAGGTGGGATTTCATAGAGCCCACTCCAACCATTTAAATCCAAACAACAACAATAACAATGAAGCTACAAGCTTCCTAGAAAAGATCAACCCACTAAAGCCAAGGTTAGATGGTTGAATGATTACCTCCTACTCCTTTGAGTGAAATCAGAAATTTTACACCTCTAAAGCCCAAGAAAAACTGTGAGAAAGATGTCCTCCACCAAGATTGAGTTGCTCTCCAAGTTGTTTAGGTGTTGTGTGAAGGATTTAAGGTGAAGTTGTGCAAGAATGGAGCAAGGAGGATGATGGGCTTTCTCTTCTTCTCCCTTGGAGAATTTCGGCCAGCAAGATGAAGAGGAGAGAGAGGATGATCTGATGAGTGAAGCTTCTTGGAGAAGCTTGGAGGGAAAATAAAGTAAGAGCCACCCAAAGTCAACTAGGAATAGTGTTTCCCACGCGCGCGTTTCGTGTCCGTTTTCTCTCGGATTTGTTTCACTTATGCACTAAACCTCTAATGTACTTCATTTAACATTATAATTATTCACTCTTAGTAGTCTAGAATAATTTTCTTAAATCTCCATTTAACCATTCCGGCTCGATATACGCGCAATTTCAATTCGCGCGCGATAAGGCGAACTTTAAAAGGAATTCATGTAACGATGATATAATTAACTATCTCTAGGGTAACTAATTATAAAAATGACTATTTTAGAAATAAAACATGAGTCCTCACAATATTAATTCCTCAAGTCTCCAATTCGTCGCGCGGTACGACTTTCGAGAAATTATCGACATACGTGTAATAAAACTTTATTTAACTTAATCACATCTAATCTCTCAATTAACTCTTCTTAGTCCACTATTGATCATCCTTAATTCTCCAAAATCATTGCACTCTCAGATTGACTATCATCTCGAAGATGTGTATTTGTTATTCCTTAATAAACGAGCTTTCGAAAAATTTAAATTTGTTAGCGAGACGTTTTACAAGTATAAATAAGACATAGTTCCATAAAAATGAATTTAAAATGGTTGAAATAAATTATTCAGAGAAAACAGGTGAATAAATATTTAAATAAGCCAATAATATGAGATAAAATGAGAAAATTTTCGGGTCCTCACAGTAGGGCTGTAAATGCTATAACTATTAAATACCGTCACACCATCCCTAGGTTAGATGATATGCTAGATGACCTTGAAGGTGCTGTCATCGTCATGAAAATTGATCTAAGGAGTGGCTATCATCAAATTAGGATGAAAAAGGGAGATGAGTGGAAAACAGCCTTTAAAACGAAACATGGCCTTTATGAGTGGTTAGTCATGCTTTTTGGGTTGACTAACGCACCTAACACTTTCATGAGATAAATGAACCATGTTTTAAGGCACTTTCTAGGTAAATTTGTCATTGTTTACTTTGATGACATTTTGATCCATAGTCGAAGCATGCATGAACACATGGAGCACTTGAGATTGGTATTAGAAACACTTCGGAAGGCGAGCCTCTATGCTAACCTTAAGAAGTGCACTTTTTGTACTAATGAGCTTGTGTTTCTAGGCTATGTTGTTAGTTCACAGGGCATCAAGGTGGACGAGACAAAGATCGAAACCATCCAACAATGGCGAACGCCAAAGACCGTTGCGGATGTGCATAGTTTCCACAGCCTGGCTGGATTTTACCGACGTTTTGTCAAAGACTTCAGTACCATTGCTGCTCCATTAACCAATATTTTTTTTACTGATATCATTTCTCAATATTAGATGACTCAAGACCATCTTACCTTTAGTATTTGTATGCTAGGCCATGTTAACAAAAAGCACATTACTAAATTACATCAAGGTGAAAATTTAGACCAATTTAGTTATGAATCCTGTGAAACTTGCGAGTCTTGTTTGCAAGATAAGTTTAGCAAGTCACCATTCATGGTAATAGTGAGAGAATAAAAGAATTGCTAGAACTCATATATAATGATGCATCTTGATCTTATGACAACTTAAGCTTAGAGGTAGTTTTCCCTACATTATTGCTTTTATTAATAACTATTCAAAAGTAGATATATGCACTTATTGAAGTACAAATTCAAGACTTTTCAAGAGTTTAAGAAGTTGAAGTTTAAGTACAGAGTACAAAAACGGCTTGGTTAGTTTTAGATTACTTAGATTTTAAAAATGGCGGAAAATACTTGGACCAAGGGTTTCAAAACTGTCTAATGGAGAATGAAATTCTTAAGCAATTGTTTTCTATTAGACAATTATTGAGTGTCTTAGGAAAAAAATCACAAATTCATGAGATACTATGAGATTATAAGCCGTGCAAGTTTACCAAAGCTGTATTCATGAGATACGGTGAGATTGTACGCCATGCAAGCTTACCAAAGTCATTTTTGGAGTATGTCCTGAATAAAATTGCCACTTAACATTAAATCATATTCCATCTAAGAATGTTTAAACTATACTATATGAGATATAGAGTATATTAAGACACTAAATCTTCACATAAAAAATTTGGGATTACCCTACTTATGCAGAGGGCATAATCGAACATGTTGGTGCTCATGTCCAGTTAAAGTCGTCTTGTACAGTATTTTAGGAAACAAGAGGACACTATTTCTATTGTCCCAATGAACAAAAGTGTTTTTCAATAATAATACCAACTTTAAAAAATTAATTTTTTTCTAAACTAGTAGAGGTAAGATAGAACTTGAAAAAATTCAAGAGCCATAAGAGGATGGTAAACAGAGATGGAATTGGAGCTTGCAACTGATGATAATGAGGTGCAACATGAAGTTTCAAGTACACAAAGGTTTCGTAGGTCTAATAAGGGTATATCTAATTCAATAAGTGAAACATATTATGATGTAATTAGTAATATCAATGTTATTTATATCCTAATTAATGTGCTCTCAAGGTCACAAAAATTCTTAAAATTTCTGGTGCTTATTGTGATACATTAGTGGCATCCCAAAATAGAGATTTGCTTCAAATGTTATCATATATAAAATTCATCTTTAAATAACATAATTTTACAGCAATTATCCTTGTACCATTTCAATCACGAAAAGTGGCTCTCATAATGCCCATGGAGGATTCAAGCCTGCTTAAAGACACCATTCATTCAATATTGTCATCCTTTTAAGCAAATAAAAAAGAATAATAAAAAGGGTTAAAAACAAAAAGCCCCATGTGGTATATCTAATACACAGAAAAACCCCTCGTAGTTTTAAAATATACAAAACGACACCTCATGTTTTGAACTAAATTGTAAATTAACAGAATTCGTTAAATTTAATGGAATTCGATAAATTTAACGAAATCTAGTAAATTTAACGGTAAATATAACGGAATCCGGTAAGTTTAACAGACAAAACCGTCATTTTCATTAACTTTAACAAATTCTGTTAGTTTGTAATTTAATTCAAAACATAAGGTGTCGTTTTGTATATTTTAAAATCACGGGGGACTTTTTTGTGTATTAGGTATACCATAGAGGGCTTTTTTGTTTTTAACCCTAATAAAAAAAAAGAGCAGATAACTCCTGGGAGAGCTGAAAAGCATCAGCAATTTTTTTTTCGGGGGAAGCGGCGGTGGGGGGTGGGTTGGAACATAAATTAGGTTATCACAATTTCTTAAGAAATAATTTTTGTGCAGAACGTATCAGCAGGATCAACCATCAGTCTAAGAACGTCAATGCTTAGTCTAACTAATTGGACCTCAGCCATCAATCCAGTAACACTAATACACAATCTAATAAAGATAGTCGGGTAACTTTTAATCTAGAAACGGGTATCGAATTTCAAAAACCATACCCAAATTCTTTTACCAGTTTTTAGAGATTGAAAATCAGCCAAGTTTACCAAGATTAATTTTATCGATGTCCAATATATGATCTAAATAAATTTTTTAAATTTTATTTCCAAAGCTTGAACCCCAACTAGACATTTTTATTCTATATACACACCACTCTTAAAAGCAAATGAGAGGGAAGAGAATAACTTTCTTAAAACCATTTTGTCAAGTGAAAATAAGTAAATTTGTTAACCAGCTTTTTTCCAAGTAAAGTTTAACTTTGAGGCTATATTGCAAGCAAATTTCATTGCGTCAAACACGGTTACCATTGCATCCAAAGAAAGTCGTACAAGAAGGAAAACCGCAAAACAGCTAGAATACAAGTACACTAAGCATACAGAAATGTAAAAGCGACATAAAAACTTGTACAAACACCAACTTCGCTCTTTTCCACAAAAATAATAATAATAAAAAAAAACCAACTTCGCTGATACAAATATCATGTCACGACGAATGACCTATTTATACTGGAAAGTGAGATTATGAAAGGAAAATAAAGACACTATATAAAAAGAAAAAGGAGAAGAAATAGGCAGTGCTGTAACCTCAGAACAACAAAGAAAAGAACCACTCTATGCTGATTATTTCTTCGATCCATTAAGCGAAACCTCTTTGTAACAAATTGGACAAGCCTGCAAGATCAAAACAGTCGTCTATAAGTCCTTTATGGACGCAAAGCTTTTCCAGTTAAAACTTTTGGAAAGGTTCAGTAGCCTACTTTGTTGATGCTAAGCCATCTGCTGCCACAACCTACATGATACATGTGCTTGCATGGAAGAGTCATTTGCCGATCACCTCGCTTGTATTCCATCTGGCAGATAACACACCTTCCAACAAAAATACAGCAAGCTAAGCACCTTTAAATTGTGGGAGAATCAGGATGGTAGAAATGCATAGTTATTGCTAGAAATGGACTATCAGTTCCCTCACAATGACGAATGATACTACCTTCTCCGATGCAAGGTCCAACTTAGGTAGAATAATAACTATACATGGGGAAAAGTCATCTTCAGACTCATAATAAAGTACAAGGGATGAAATTAAACTATTAATCAAATTCAGTATTGTCCCATGTCAAGAGATGTATGGTAAAATAATGCTGAACATCACATTGACATCACCGAGTATGAGACCATGTATAGTCATCAAATGATTACTACCACAAGTTCATCTACCTAAAGCAACCATAAGCATTTTTGTCAACCTTGCAACATCAAGGCTCACAACTTCCTTTGTCCTTTAAGATAACTACATTATATTATTGGTCTGACACCCCCAGCATAATACATAAAGATGTTTTGCCCATGAACATGCTCTAATTACCAAAGGACATTCTTTAAACAGGATGACTTGTACTAAGAACACGTCATCAATACTAAATGAATCAGAACTAGAATAGACTTTCTATCTCTCTTTATTACCTCTCATGTCTTGATTTCTTTCGTGAAAATAAGCCACACTTGAACTTGGAGACTGGAAGCAAGGAAATAAGTTCCTGCGAAAGACCTCTATTTTGAGTGCCAACAGCTTCACCCAATTCAAGTAACTCCTGCAAATAAAATAATAGATATAACATAAAGGACTACATAAATATCTATGCACTCAATAACCAGCTACAACACGATCCATTTTACTCCAATTAGAAATGTAACAGTCCCAACATTATCCAGTGTCATACTAATGAGAATATAAGGGGACAATACTGGAAGAAATTTTGGCTCTGGTGAGCGCATAAAACACAAAATAAAACAGTTAAGAAAAATAGTCTTAGGCAGTTTCACAGAAAATCTATGCAGAAAAAGAAAAACATCAATTTCATTAGTAATATGTCCCTTCATTTTATAGATGTATTGTCAACTACTCGCCCGACTTCATTTACCCAAATAAAGTTTAAACAAGTTCAACAACACATTCCCTCAGGAGATCATTCGCTAACTTCAAACTTTATCTATGCAGATCTTCTGCTAAAATGTAATGCCAATCATCCAAGAAACTTAATAGATTTAAATCACTTAGTAACTCAACCAAGCAGCAAGAGTACTGTATATACATTCCCATGAATCTATGATCATTCTAGGAAGTATAAGCACTGTGCACCTAAATCTATTCAAATGCATACAGAGCTTTTGAAGTGAAAAGCAAAGTCCACATATAAAGAATATGAAAAAGATGAAGGTTCAAAAATTTGAGGATAGTAGTTTCACGAAATTTGGAACATATGCTCATATTCCAAGACTTCTCCCAATCATAATGCTATACAATGGAATGCCCTTAGATTTTAAATTTTTGACAATCTGTTATGTCTATTCCATCATATGTGGGCACACTTGATAACGTTTAATGGGCGATAATCAAGGCAGATACATTTACAGTGGTTTGCTTGTTCTTAAGTTTCTTAGGTTCCGTTTGATAAAATTGAATCTGAATTCTGAAGTCTAAATTCTGAAATCTGAATAGTGAAACAATTAATTTACTGAATTTTAAGCACTGAAAAGAAATATATGAATGTCTGAATTTTAATGCTAAACTTATTTATACTGTTTGATAAATATTTATAACTGAATGCTTAATAAGTTTAATTTGACAATTTTGCCCTTATATCTTTTCATTCAAAAAAGAAACAGAACCTATGATTTAATTAACTTAAAATTGTTAGGTATAAAAATGACTATTTATTTTTAAATCAAATTAATATAAAAGATGACATATATTATATGAGGAGTATGGAGAAGATGTGAAAGTCATTAAAAAGGGTGAAAAAAGAAACAGAAAACCATTAGATAGAGAATATCAGGATATTTAATTAGATAAGAACTTCGAATATAATTAGCAAACAAGGGTAGATTTGATAGATAAGATAGGGTATTTGAAGTAATTCTATTGATTCTTATTAGAATTAAACATTCAGTTAGGATTCTTGTGCTGAAAAAAATACACACAAGTTCAGCACTACTTAACAAGTTCAGCAGATGGATTTTCATTTATCAAACACTCAAAACATCTGAATGTCTGAAAAGGTTCAGTTTCAGCACTTTTGTATGTTATCAAACAGACCTTAGTCTTCAGGTTATGTTGCATGTCCATGTAAAGTATAAAGCATTTCAGGGAAAAAAAACATCATGTGACCTAGAGTCTTTACCTACCATGGAGATTTCAACAAGAAAGACTAGAAACAAAAAAAAATGTTCTTGTCATGATGATCACCTATTTTCTCCAGATAGGAGTGCCTAAAATTTTACACAACCACACTTGAGCCTTCACGTAGTAACTACTATAGCTTAAAGAAGTTTGATATCTTCTCTCTAATTTAATCTCTTTCACCTCCTCATGTTGCGTAACATATCTAAAATCTGCCAACACTAATTTCAGCATCTTTCCATAAAATTCTGCAATAATTTCATGCAGTAACCTATTCTGAGCACTTATCATCTGCATGTCAAACAGAAAACATACCAAACAACTTTAGCTTGCTTAGTGCTGTCATCACATACATATCTCTTCGTATGGGGCAATAATTGGTCACAGTTTCGAACTTAAGAACCAGGTTACAAACTTCAAATTACTAAATAAAACTTTTGGCTTGACATGCTAATAAAGATACATTGTACTTTATGAAATCAGTATATGTAAAGTCGTACTTGATGTGTGTTCCCAAGCTTATTCAAATTAGTGATAAACAGGAGACCACCACTTGATGTCACTTTTGGTAAGTTTTACCTTTAAGGTTTCATTGTCTTAAGAACTTTTAAAAATGGTAATCTTACTTAACTTAAAGACTTCAGAAACAGTCCAACAGAAGAAAGGCAGACTTAAGATCTTTATTACATAAGTATATACAATATTCTAATCGTAGTGGAAATTTGATAGCATTCTCACAAATTGTCATGCTTTAGTGGAAATTTGTTAGATATTGCCATAAGAGATTAGTCTTCAATGCTTGAGAAGCCCAAATGCAAGTTCAATCAGTCACAAAATCATGATAAAAGAATAATAGTAATAACAAAAGAATCTGGTTTAGTACATTCATCGAATGCCTTTACTCCAAGCAACTAAAATAAAACATAACTTCAGTTGTTTTGAATTTATTCTCAGGTTATCTGCTGTATGCTGTCCTGTCTGAAGTCATATGCTCCCCCCGCCCCCTTGGGCCCTCAGAAGGACCCAAATTAAGAAAAAACAAACCAAACTCCTGTCTGCCTCCTCTGCTTTGTCATTTTTGATGATTTGATAATGCATCAATCAAAAAGATATCTTGTTTCATAATATTCCAATTCTAACTCTTTCTCCAATTTTCTAAACCTTAAAGTTGAGAAACTATTCTTAAACTATGGTTGAATGCAGATAAATGCATATTCCAGTCTTAAGTATTCCTTTTCCTACCCTAATCTACATGCGAACAATTTTTCCAAGCCTAATACAGTTGCAATGAAAGCCTGTTCCTGGTTGTCAAGAATACTAATGGACAAAATCCTAACTAGCAGTCTCAACAGGATATTCAGATTTAGAACCTTTTTGCCAAAATGACATAGCCTCCTTGGTCCAGAACCATAATAGCAGAACATCCTTTAGTGTCGCTAATCTTAATTACACAATTCTCTACCCATCCAAAAAAGAAAAAAAAGCTTCTTATTTATGACAGTATTATCAAATTAAAGTCAATGAGCTTGTCCATCTTCGCAAAACGTGTCAACTCTAAACCATGAGGTCCTCAAATCATTATAATTCTAAGAAGAGCAAACACAAATAAAGTTGGAGATTGCCTAAAATGTTGTTGGTAAATATTCATGCAGAAGGACAACATATGTAAACCATTTCTTTAAAAGAAAGAGAAAGGAAGAACAGAAGGAAAAGGGGGCACCGTATACATAAACCTCAATAGTCTTAATTTTCACTAAAACCAAAAATGTTCGGTTGGAACTGTCAATCTTGGATTTTGATCCTTCCCATTTCACAAGAAAAGCAATACCAAGATTATAGCTGTACAACAAGAAACAGAATGAATGACGCAATTCCAAAAAAAATATCTAGTTTAGTTCACAAGAAGCCTTATATTCCAAACTTAAGCCAATAGCTTCTCTTTGATTTTCATGGAATACGAAATTCTTACAACTCATGCCAAGTCATAAAACAAAACATAATGATCCTTTCCCATGTCCATTTCAAATGCTGTACCATCCAACACTATCTGGAATCTGATAACCTTTTCTTTAATTAGTCGTCAAGTAGCTTTAACCTCTCATACTTAGACAGTGCAATGTCTATGTTAGATACCGTCCAAGAACCAAAGAGAAAGAAAAGTCCTAAAACAATTTTCTCTTGCCTCTGCAAGAATATTGCCATAAGGGACTTTGCCAACCCTATGAAGGACAATCTCCATTATGGATGGAGTATACCTAAACAAAACAAAAAATGCAAAATAAAAATGGCAAAAGTTACGTGTGAAGACTCCTACTGTTCTGTATCATACTTCCGAATTATGCTTGATCTTTTCTTACAATAAATGCTTAACTTTTGCAGCTTCAAAGGATTAATGACGTCTTTTGTTCTCCATACTGGACTTTGTTTATCTTTTAAAAACTTGATAACTAATCACTCCACATGACTGAAAATAATAGGATAATAAATCATTGCATCAAAAAAAGTATAAATAGAAAATATTATCAGACCTCATACGTCATGTTATCAGGATCAATGTTGTCTTGCCAAACGACCTGCATCAATGTGCTGAGGATTAGTGAACCAAACAAATGACATCAGATGCTTTCTTGCATCACTTTGATTTATCAAAGAGGATATAAAAGCACTACTGCCTCCAACGTAGCGTTTGCAGTACTGCTAATAACCAGAATAAGTCTCTCCAAATAAAATAATAAACCAGAAAACATTAAGCAAGTAAAAGGATGGTTCCATATCCCATACCTCATAATCACGAGTATTCTGATGACTTCGAGGACCTACATATTAGCAACAATTCTCAATCAATATCTTCTGATATCACAAACTCTACTCAGTACAACAAAACGTTGCAGAAACAAAAAGCTTGAAAGGTATCATATCCTTCACAAATAGCCTACATATGAGGCACCGAAACCTCTTCCCCACCAACACAATTTGCACAGATATCAGCTTGGTACTATCTGTCATTGATCCTCCAAATATGTTGATGAAAAACTTAGGGAGCTAATCTAGCTCACTCATCAAGAAATAGATCAAGACACAAAATTTCAAGAGGCTACAAGCAGACTTTATGTGTATTGAATGCGCTGTAACCTTAAGATGTATCTGAAGACTTTGAAAAATAATACTTCCATATCATAAAAAATATATCCATATTCGACTCAATAATGATTGTTCAATCAGATAAAAATTATAGATTCGTTAAATAGTTAAACCGTTTCTTTAACAGATAGCAACAGTGATATATCGAATAAAGATTGGCATGGTTGCAAGAAATTCTCAATACATTCATTAAGAAATCCATCTATAGCTCCCATGGTACTGTAAAGAGCAGACACTAACTGCTAGTTAGATTGTTGCTTGAGCACTAATCACATCTGCTGCATCACTAAAATGAACTGCAGTTGTCCGCAAATAAACAGTAATAGCTTCAAAATTGCATAAAATTATACGATCACAAGTAAGACACACACACCCCACCCCCCTCTCGCTCCAAAAAAAAAGGTTAAAGCAAGAGCAATTCTAGTGGACCAAAAATACAGCTTGAACCCATAGGAAGCCATAAAAAGTGCAACAAAAAATCAGAACTTACACTCCACAGGATTAGCATGTGAAGGGGAGATTGAATTCTCCTCTCGCTGCATGTGATCAGCTCCAGTTTGTTCTTGGATCATGCTTGAAGGATCCTCTAAATTCCTACCGTATTCACCGATTTCAGATGTTTGAGTATGATCATTCATCACATAACCATGACCATAGTCACAGTAAAAACTCCCAGGTTCAGAATATGCAAATTTGTGGAAACTGGTGTTCATCGAAGGGTATACACTATCCTGCAAAAGACAGAGGCAATCAGATAAATAGCTCGAAGATATAAACCACTGACTACAATTCATATCCTAACAAGAAAAGGACAAAATACTGGTAAACAACATTCTTCTATGTGGTTTTTCAAATAAAATCAAAACACATGCCACATTCTGACTCTGACTAAGTAATTGTGAGCGTATTCAAGTGATGCACTTTACTCTCAAAATTTTAACTCATTAGTATCTCAATGAAATTGATTATTCACGAGGCAAACGGTTACAATCTCTTCAATTAAACGTCAGGCAAACAAATAAAATCTGATCAGATATGTTCATATAAGTGCATGTATACAGACCACAGATAAGTGATTAGAAAAATATAATTGTGTGAATTTAATGAAAGAAGAATATGTACCTGTGCATAAGGATGAGCCTCTGCAAAAATAAAATTGACATGGTCACAAGTAAGGCCTCCAAAGAAATCCACAAAGCTTCCAATTGAATTATAAGGCATGCCAGGGGCAGAGTTTGCATAATGAAACTCCATCGGCGAGGGCCAGCTCATCTTCTCACTTAACTACTATACTACTCTGCAGTTTGCACCACAAAGCTTCTAAAATTCGTAATTATAAACTTATCTGTATTAACTAATACTAGTGATTCGAGTATGCTAGTTACCTTATTACAAGCGAAATTTTTTCTTCAAATCGAGGAATTCAATGTCAATATTTACCTAATCAGTTGTACATTTTCCGATTTCCTGCAGTGAGAGCACCAGTGGTTAGAAAACTCCCAATTAAGTCTCAGAATTTGACAGTAATCACGCAAAAACACAGGGATATGCGATTTTTTTCCAATAATTTTGCGGATCGAGGCGGAAATGACCGACAAAAAATTAACGCATTTTAGATGCAAAACTAAGAAAGGCTTAGAAAAAGATTAAGAAAAATGGGTAAAATCTTACAGTAAATTGAGTGTTTTTGGTTCAGGAAAGATAAAGAAAGAAGGAAGGAAGAAAGAAAGAAAGTATTTGTTCATAATTGATGGAAATTGAAAGGAAAAAATTGTCTACATTGTAGTAGAAAAGAGAAGGAATCGAGAGCAGAAAAGGAGGAGAGATGAAAGATTAAAGAAACCGACATTGATTGCTTTTCTGAATGCCACCCCGGCACCTCTTCCACAAACGCAGTCTTCTTCGCCGCCTTCTCTAGTCTCTACTTTTTTGTAAGTGAAGACTGAAGCGGGTGGCGTGTCACCTTTGTTACTTCGGTTCACTTACTCTATGAGTTGCCTTCTTCTCATTGTTAGAGGAGAAATTTACCACTCCCGGATGGTAGGTCAAACAACAAGGAGCTACTTGGGGTCTCAGTCTTGTGAATAGAATAAACAACACATTTGAGATGGTCACTCGAAAGTGCACGATTCGGAATTAGTCCAAATCCAGTGGATCACTCGACACCGAGAAATTTACACAAAAAAGAATAAAGAAATTTAGTGAATGCACGCCTGACACCAAAAAATTTACCGGAAAAATGCACCTTTCATACAATTTCATCCCTAAAATTTCAGTAAAAACACATTTCATTTATATAGTTGCATAATTTCAATCAATTTCATTCCTAAAGTTTCATACAAACACATTTTAACCTCATAATTTCATAAATTTAACCAATTAAAGACAATTGAATGATTGTTAACCAATTTGGACTGAATATTATCACATGACTAGTATGTCCTGTTAATATTTAATTCAGTCATTGATTAAATTATATAAATAATAATGAGTGTGTTTCAATAAGAAACTATTTCTTTTAAAATTTATGATATGATGAATGTGAGATAAAAAAATAAATTATATGATAAATAGATAACTTGAAAAACATGTATATGACGCAACAAAACAAAGTTTTGTAAATAAATGACAATCTAAACAATTATTTCTTTCATGTTAATATTCTTTTCCAATTGGTTGCAATGGATTGTTTGAAATTTTTATCCAATTAGCTATAATAAGGTTATTTCTTTTCTACGATTTCATTTCCTCTCAATCTTTTTATTCAATTTATGATTAAGAAGAGAGTATTGATGGCTAAAAAGTTTTAGTCTTTTTAAATAAGAAAGTGAATTAAAAAATGATTTTTGAGATTTTTGTTGATCAAATGTTTTCTGTATTATACTAATGGGCATGACGTAGTCTAATGTAGAGCTGTTAATCGAGTTGAGTATTTAGTTGCCGAGCTCGACTCGAGGTTCGAGCCAAGTTCAAGCTCGCTCGACTAGGCAGACAAGCTTTAAAATGTGTTCGGACTCGACTCGCCAAATGAGACATGTGGTTCGAGTTCGAGATCGAGCTCGACTCGTTTATCACAAACAAGCCGAGTTTGCACGAGCTCAAGCTCGTGCAAATTAACTCCACTAAAAACCTATAATTTTCAATTTTTACACTTTTGAATTGTGAAATGACATATATACCCTTCCTTATCGAGTCTAATCGAGCTACTCGGATAACAAACGAGTCGAGTTTACTCGACTTGTTAATTAAACGAGCATATCTCGAACCTTATCTAGTTGAGCTCAATTGAGCTTTCAAGCTGCTCGTTCCATTTAACAGCTCTAGTCTAATGATTCTATTCTATTTGAATTGCTTGACAATCCATCAATTGTCATTAATTTGTCAAATTTATGAACTTACAAGAATGAAATGTGTCTGCATGAAATTTTAAGGATGAAGTTGATCAAAATTATAAAATTATAAGGATGAAATGTGTTTTAACTGATACTTTAGGGATGAAATTATCCAACACCCTAAACAATAGGGATGAAAGAGCATTTTTCCCAAAAATTTATGCCAAAAAAAGAAAGAGATCTACCGAAGGTACAACTCATGGTTTGAGAGTTTTAAGTGACTAGGAGATGATCACCGTGCTTGCGCACGGTGGAAAATTGTATATATGCCCAAGATCAAACGCTATATAGCATTTGTTGTTATGCAATCAGTGTTTAAAAGTGGTTAAAATTGAGCTATGAAATTTTTAATCGGATAAATTGGAGAGATTATGTTAATGATTCATGGCATAGGAAAGAGCGTAAAGGGTGCTATATAAAGCGCATTCATGAATAAGGAATATATTTGTAAGGATAGGTGTAAAATATGTAACTTTTATTTAAAGGAAATGCATGCTGTCCACCACAAACATACATGGAGAACTGGATTACAAAGGAATGGATGGAGATTGCAAACTACACGTTCATTAGAAAAGTCATTAGGATAAAACTAAGTTGTCACATCTGCCATGGTAGAATACACATAAAAGCTATCATACCATGGGAAATGTTTTTCTGCACCGTGTCTATCAAAGATTATAACAGTGTAGTAGTAACAGATTCAGGAACAAAGACCAAAACTTCTCGAAACTGTAGTTGGTGCTCTGCCACAAAGATGTTCCAGTTGTCCGTAAACTACCTTCCACGCATTGAAACAGTTATTGTCTTGTTTCCAGTCCTCAGAGTAATTGAAGGAGTCTTTGTACTATGGACGAACTGAACAACAAACCTTGGGACTTTCTAGAATTTCATGCAGCAAGAGAAGTGAGTGTTGTGGCATATAGGTGTAGAAAATGTAATAAATGTATATATAAAACTTACAAAGTTATGCCGATTCAGTTTGTCAATGAATTGATAGAAACGCACGCCTTCGGTTAAGGTTTGTACGAAGTCAGGCCTCATTGATGATGACACGAGCTGGCGTAGCATTTTCTGCTTTTTATCACCTGGAATTAAAGGATACTCGCATGAGAGAAACAAAGGCAAAAAAATAAATGGCTGATACAAAACAAAAATGTGTAGCGCTCAACTTCCTAACTCGAGAGATAGCTGTGAATGTAGCATATTAGGCAGAGGATCTGTCCATGGCATGTATACTTGTTTTTTGTCCTCGCAAAAATGGATGACATCGAAGATTAGGTGACCAGAATGCGGGAGCAAGAAAAAGTAATTTTCCTTGATGATGTTGCTGCAGCAAAACTTGGGGTTGCTGGAGGGGAAACAGAAAGAGCAACGATGACGGTGGTGGGAACGCGAGCAAAACGGACAGAAGTACGGGTGAGATGGACGCAAGAGCAATAGAGAGTGCAAGAGAACAACATACACCGGCAAACGGAAGACACAAAAAAGAAGAAGGACGAAAGGATGGATAATAAGGATGCCAATGAAGGGAAGAGAATATATCAAAAGCAGAGAAGAGGAGCACGAGAAGCTGGTAAGAGAAGTCTTGGAAATCAAAGAAATTAGCAGGCTGAAGGTAGAGCAAACCTGCGCAACCAATGCAGAGCATGCCAGCGCAGACGAAAATGCAGGGTGCCATGGGCGGTAACGGAAAGGCGGGAAGAGAAGCTATGAAAAGCAGAAAAGAGGACGAACGAGAAGTTGGCAAGAGAAGTGTTGGAAACCAAAAGAATTTTTTAGGTTGCAGGCATAGCAAAAAACCACTATCACTAAGATAGAGCACGGCAACAGAATTTTTTTTTTGTAATAACTAATAGGAATGATGACAACGCAGCCGCCGTCCAGACAAGATCTGCTGGGTATGAGGTTATGAGATAAGGAGTCCGCCGTTTGCACATCTTAGTTTGAATTATCATGTGGTAATTTCTTCAACCATTAAAAAAAATTCATGTAACAAAATCAGCCCCTATAAGTAAAACTGATAAAATGGTTCGCGGAAAATGCTAAAAATAGAGACATATTTGCAGACGCTAATATTGGAAACTTTAAAGGTGCAAAGCAAAATTATTCAAAGGCACATTGATAGTTCTTGGAGTTAACACTTCTGACGTACTTTTTTTCCTGCAAAAGAGATACACAAGTCGAACTGTTAAATTTTAATCCTATAAGTTTCACTGCATCTAACAATTGGAATTTTGAAGTTCAAAACATGGAAAGAATATCAAATTTTTAAGTTCATTTTATGTGAAGAAAACTTTAATCAGGATTATGTCATGCAATTGTTGTAACAAAGACATGCAGAGATTTTGGACGTATTACATTAGCTTGTCAAACTGTTTGTCCTAATTATAGAATCAAAGAGTCAAACGTTTATATAAACGCTAAATTGTTTGATTTTGCAAGTAATTCATGTGACGGCCGCTTGAGTTAACCCCTAAATTGGATGGAATTGTAAAAATAAACATTTTTATACATAGTGGATGATTTGCAACGAATAGAGCTTAGTAGCAAAAAGTTCATTTTACCTAGTAAGTTTGTATCAATTCAGATACTTTGCCATTCATTTTATGGTTTTGGCTTTTGATATGTGTGGCATAGATGTTGACACGTTTATACAACTCTTTTTTTTTTCTTCGAAATGATAAGTTGACATTTATATAACTCATTGTTTAGGAAATTGATGCATATAAAACAAATCGTTCAAGAAACACTAGTTTGAAGGAGACCACTACCAATGTTTTTCATATTTTTTAGTGAAAGTGGAAGTCAAACCTGAGATCTTTCACTAATACTCCCTCCCTTCGAATCATCCAATATATCCCTCCCCCATCAATGTTTTTCACATCCCTAACTTTTACTTCTAGATTGAAGTTGCATCAAAGTTTAATTCATCCTTAAGGTTTGAATGCAACAATAGTGTATAGAAAAGAATTTAAAAGCAAAAAGGCATATTTAAGAAGAATGTTAAAGTTGAGCATGTTTTGGTCTAATGTCAGAAATTAAGACTCTAGAAATTAGAAATTCTAAATTCAAATTTGTTTCCGCCCCCCCTCCTTTTCTTCAATCCAGTCCTTTTTCTGCTATAAAACAATTAAAAAAAGAAAAGAAAAAGAGAAGAATGTTAAAGAAATCTGAAGTAATTAGATTTGCATCTTATGTCTACTTAGTATCATACCTTAATAAAAGAGCCTTTGAGCCTCCTGCTATCAAGTTTCAAGAATAAGAAATAAAGTAATTTTTAGGAGAATGTTGGAAAATAGCAAACTTTAATAGGACTTTTTACTGCAGCTATTTTTTTCACACTCTTTATTGAACATCTATACTATACATAAAGGTGAGGTGGGGGTTTGATGTAAACATTTTTTGTCACTTTATATACTTTCAATTTTACCCTCATGAAAATCACATATCATTTTACTATATAAACACAAATCGCTAAAATAATTACCTGTAATTATTTTTAACCATAACTCATCTAAACACATCTTGACAAAATGACAAACTCTAAATATTGAAACTACTAAAATAGCCATTATTTGATGAGAAAAAGGTTAAAATACCATGATTTGCTTTAGTAATTA